ACCAGTGATGAGGGAAAAGAGAAGAAAAGGGCAGCAGCGACCGCGTGCTTAGAAAACACCTAAGCGCCCCCCGCCCTCCGTGTAATGGGCACTCCATTTCATGACTTGGTAGAACTGTGTGGGGGAAAAAATGTGGCATTTGGTCCAAACTTTCTAACTTTTTTTAAGCTGAAGAAAGCATCTGTGCTTTTCTCTCACTTCTCTCCTTAACAGGATGCAGGCCTATTTAGAATCAGTGGGAAAGACCTTCAAGATCATGGAGTCTGGCTGTGAACCCATCACGGCCATGCCTGCTAAACCATGTCCTTGAGCACCTCATCCACACGTTTCTTCAACACAGCTAGGGATGGTGACTCCACCACTTCCCTGGGCAGCCTGTTTGAATGCTTCACCACTCCTTCTGTGTAGAAACTTCTCCTAATGTTTAATCTGAACCTCCCCTGGTGCAACTTAAAGCCGTATTTGTCTAAATTTAGAACACTAAAGCCATGAGATTACATCAGAATTTGGGGAGTTTAAACACTAGTTTTGAGCTGTCATTTGCTCTGTGAATTTTGCAGATTTTTTTACTGCACTATCATTTGGCTTTGGAGGCATATCAAGATAACCCAGCAAAGGATCTGATCACGGCCAGGCAGGAATGATCAGAGCCTGGTCAGCAGTGCCAGGCTGGTGTTCACCAGTATGCTGAGTGATGAATGCGGACAACTTTGATACTAAGGATATAGAAAAAAAAAATCTGATCGCTATCAGACAGGACCATACTGTACAGATTAAAAAGAAGAATGCCAGCTGTGAGCTACTTCTGACTTTGCCTAGTATTGGCGCTAGTTATTGCACATCCAGTGATTATGTTGCCCTGCTGCTTGCTATTCTTTCTACATAAAAGAAGCCTGACTGACATTGCTGATACAGAGCTTTTAGCTGATGAACTCCTAGTGGTTAGCGTGGAGAGAAACCTTTAAGAGAAAGCCAACATTTCTGGTATATGCTGTTGATTAATGTTTGTTTATCTGGAACAAAGAGTCTTGAATTTTCCCCTTTGTGTAGGATTGCAAACTAGTCAGAATGCAAGAAAAACAGAAAGTAAATTGAGGCCTTCTTTTGAGCAAATTTAAAGGGAGGGAGAAAAAAAAAAAAAGACTTCTGAGAGCCCATGACTCCCAAAGGACATGATTTGAGGAATTGCAGAACATGTAAGGAGCAAAATTCAGGATGGAATCATAATCAAGATTAGTTGGAAAGAAAACAGGACGGTTCTGCTGAAGGAATTACTTTTAAGTAATAGAACAATAACTTTTAGGTACCAGAACAATACAGAAAGGAAGAAAAAGAAAATTGACAATATGGTTATATGATTTATATGGTTTAGAGAGAAGAAATGTGAATCTGGGAACAAAGGAACTTACATAATTGCCACGTGAAAAGGCTGGTGGAGACATTCTGCAATCACCAATAGTCAGGAAAAAATCACCTGAGCATGCAGAAGATGCACAGCTACCTTTCAGACAAACCTAAAAAAGGAAGAAATGTCTCCAAAGAGCACCAGCTCGCTTTAACATAGCTGGGAGGAAAACTCATAGCAGCTGAAAGTAATAGCATGTGAGGATAAGGACATAGTCAGCTCTCAGAATAATGCCATTATGAGCAAATGGGAAAGCTTTCTGTGATTGTCACTTGAGTGAGAATTGAAACTAAATGGTAGTTCCCCAGGGATGATGCCCAAACGCATAAATCTGAGGAAATTAAGCACGTCAAAAAACAACACTGGAATTAATACAAAAATCATCAAGGATAAATTAGTTGCATTCACAAATAAATTTGGACAAGCTGTAAAAGCCATGATGCCAAAGAAACTTTTGTTTAAGCCTCTGAAGCATTTGTAAGATGTAATTAAGATTGTATCTCAGATGGAATACTTGAAGGATAAAGATATAGGCAAAACTTCTCTGAATGTAAAAATAAGCCTGAGGGGGAAAAAAAAAAAAAAAACTCAACCATTAATACGGTAAATTAATTTCCCCTTTATCAGTAAAGCTTGCCAGAACATTTTAATGGAAAATTCCTTCTAAGCAGTTATACTGACTTTTTCAGCATTAATAACACTGGAATTTAATACAGTTGGTTCTTGATTTTTATTTAAGATTAATAAGTATGTTTAGTGAGATAGAAATTGAGCTGTTTTAAGAGTCCTTGTTAGAAGGTAATAGAGGAACTGAATGAGTAATCTAAAACCTGTAGTTATTTCTCTATAAAGATCCAATCAGCTATTAATAGTCAAAACAGAAAATCAATGGAACAATAAATACATTTGAAGAATGTATTTTTAAAACAAAAATACTGTATTTTTAAAAAAGAACATAATATCATTTAAACCTTTCAAAAAGCAGTAAGAAAAAAAGAATAAACTCCATGTATAATTGTGCTTAAGAAATTACAGCAAATGTAATATCTGAAATTAGGATTTTTTTTTTCTTTAATGAAATATCTGTTTGAATTGCAGGCATTATTTAGTTCAATTAAAGACATCAGTTTATTAAAGGAATTGGATTAATCTGGTCGGCAGATAAGAAAAAGTTAAAGAAGGAGATATTAAATTTTCCACATCTGAGTTTTTTTAACAGTTTTTTTTTGTTTGTTTGTTAGAGTTGCAGAAATGGAGCATAAAGAAGCAGAAATAGAGTGTAAAGAAATATCAGCTGATAGAGACTGCATTTTGAATGAAACCAAAAATCACATAGTTTCCTAAATTCATACTTTCTGGGGAAACAAGTAATGCGTTTCAGAATATTGTTTCTAGTTTCGGTAAGAGTCAAACGTTATATATCCTCAAAAAAAAAAAAAAAGCAAAATCAGAGGAACAGGCAGGGCAAATATAGTGCAGGTAGGTAAAAAATCTCCTCAAGGACAAAAAAAAAAAGGAAAAAAAAAAGTAGATTCAGCTAAGTGATAAAGTATACCCACTGAGACCAGTGAGATACCTTGAAACACATGGGTCATTGTTTACATTGGTTATTTTAAAAATGCATAAAATAGCATTGCCTTGCAAAGAAACAGCTTTATCCTCCAGCCTTGACTCCCCAGCTTATTCTCTCCTTTGTTGGCACAAGTGTAGCTGTATTTTAAAAATACTCATATTCATTCCACTGTTCTCACTGTTCTACTAGTGCCCAGTTTTTTTTTTTTTTTTTTTTTTTTTTAATAATCTGTTTGTGTTCAAGGTGTGGTTATTTGCAGCAGCTGTATACTGTGGACAAGATATGAAAGGGATCAGGCTGTGCTTTCTTTGTCCACCTGTGTGTGGTTTAGGGTGGTTGATAAGGTCCTCTGAGCTCTACTATGACTGCCTCACAGCACAGCCATGGGGTGAAGGGAACTTGGGTATGTGGTGAGACATCCCCTCAGGCTCAGAGGAGGAGCAGTGAGTACATAGGCTTGGAAATAAAATGGCATGAAAACTCAGACTTGCCAAGCGTGATAGAAAGCGTCAGCTATTTTAGGGTTTTTTATCAGTCTGAAGTACATTGGGTAGTTCTGATAGGGGCAAACCAGTACAAACTGACTGTATTGAGCAGATTCTAGGGCCCAGCTTCCAGTGGTTCACAGGTCTATATAATCCATATATGCACCTAAATGCAGGTAAATGTTCACCCACATACAAAATATCTTGCTCAAAGGATCTTATGCAAGCCATGATAACTTAAAGGATTTCTTTGGAGCAGATTTTTTGCTACTCGTGTTTGTCCCTTTCTTATTTTTTTAATTAGGAAGGATAGTAATTCTACAGTCTTTTATATTATATGACCCTGAATTATATACAAAGTAAAAAAATTTCTCCTGTTTAATGCTAATGAAGTTATGTCCATTTATATCAAATCCAATTAGCACTGTAGGAACAATAGAAATTTTTGTCTTAGTCTGTCCAGTTTATAGGTCTATGTATGCCGTGGCACATTCACAACATTATACTTCCTTTGCAAGTTGCCGAGGCACATTACATGCCCTAAGGCTTTGCGGTGCAAGTGATGATTTCTATTTCTTGTAGAAAGATGGCTCTTGGTATATTTTCACCTCATATAATGAGTATCTTTAATGGAGCTTGTACTGGGCCATTTATGTTCCTGCTGGGATTTTGGTATCACTTTCAGCGGAGTGTATTAGACAACTTTCACAAATGTTGGCCTTGCAATGTTTGGTCTTATCTATTCTGCTATTTGGTATATCTGCTCTGTTCCTTGCACTTTTCTGTTTCCTTTAGTCTGAAGTTCCTTTTTTCATTCTTCACTTCTTTTCTATCATTTTAAATAATATCCATATTAGCCTTAATGCAATCCAACATTTACCTACCCAAACTAGTATATTGGTGACTTGAAGAATTTTTTTTTTGTCAAAAAGGTGTGCTTTTTTCACTAACTGTGGACAAATGTAGATGCAGTGCACAGTCTGTACTTGGGACTCTTGTTTGTTTTTCCTCCTGCCTTCTTGCTTAAAAATTCACCATTTTTGTAAACTAATAACTAGCTTGAAAGACTTGTTTGTTGGTGAAGAGGCCAAATACTGTATTTTCCAGAGGACTCGGTCCTCAAAATGACCATAAGAATAGCACTTGATTAATTTTGTAAGAGATTTGATTTTTTTTCCCATCTCAGTGGTATTTTGATTCTCCATCAGTGGTAGAACCCATTAAGTGATCATTCTTGTATAAATACCTAGGATGCTGACTAAAGACAGCAATGACCATCAGATGACCTCTTTCGTTTTTAAACCCAAACAATATTTTTATTACCTACTAGGAAGTTGCATCTTTTGCTGTAAGGTTCCTTGTAAAATGCATAATATCTTTATCTATAGTTTCAATTAATTAGTGGAATTTGATAGCATCATCATCAGCTACAATGAAAGCAAAACAAAAGCAGGTTCACTGTGCAGTTTTAGTCATAATCGCAAGCTTCTCATACAGCAGTAATGTAAGAATGGTTGTACTGGGCTAGGCAAAGTCAAACCAGCCAATAAGCATCTTTATGCTCAAAGAAGATATTTAACAGGATGCATAATGGGGGAAGTATGACTGAATATTTACTTAGTCTAGCAACCTGTCATATTCTTTTCTAATAATAAATTTATAAATTTGCAAAGGTATGAGTCTTTTTTTTTATTTGCTGCCAAGATCTAGTTCTGTCCTTGTCCAGAGAACTGGTACGAGATGCCATGAACTCAGCCAGTACTCCTGTTTGCTGGAGTCTTTCTCTGAGTGTATCTTGTTGGACCGTTTGTCATTGAAGGTCTTGCAATACATATTTGCAAGTGGATCAGAGGAAGAAAACCATGCAAACCGGAAGATATGGAAGCCCCTGCATAAAACTAGTGGCTTTAAATGGCTTAATTTTAGCGCCATTTGGTGGTTTCATTATCCTGCTGATAACCTCTTCTATTCCTGCTTCCCAAAACCCTCCAATACTGGTTTGTTACAGGTAATAATATGTTCGGCTATTGGCACAGATCTTAACAGTGATTTGTAAGGACGTACACAGAATATAACATTCCAGAATGATTGGTCAGCTGAACTCATAGGGTTATTGCTTTGGTTCCCCCTCACTTTAGCTATTGTAACTCAATATAATTTGGAAAGCATTTCAGGTTATCCAGGAGGCTGAAGCCACACAGAAGACACTTGGATTTTAAGGAGGTGGGGGCCAAAAACAGGCTCCCAGAGAAGCTGTGAAGTCTCCTTCTCTGGAGATCTTCCAAACACAGCTGGACCCCACCCTGTGCCACCTGCTCTGGGTGTCCCTGCTGGTGCAGGGGGGTTGGACTAGATGATCTCTAGAGGTTCCTTCCAACCTCAACCATTCTGTGATTCTGTGAAGAACCAGCACTATGCCACAGGACCTTTGAATCGTATGCTCAGACTCCTTCAACTAAAAGAACAGCAGAGTGGCAATGTCTGGCGGAAAGTGCATTTTTGGAGGAGTCACATGGCAGCAAGTCGAGTTGAAGGAGAAACAAAGTAGGAGGGTGCAAGTGCGCGCTGAAGGACAACCTAAGCGGAGCGAGCGCCGGAGCCG